TGTGTTATATGGTCAGTGTAGACTCACAGATTGTAGTTTAATTCCATCAAAGTGCATTATATGAGTCTACACTGCTTGCTTAGCTGTTCTGCTTCCCCAGTCTTGCTCCTCCATAAGGACTTTCCATCTTTCATTTAATGTAACACTTTTCCAGAAATACACTGACCTACTTTACCATCATTACAACCACAGTGGGATGCAAAGGTTTAGAAAGATCTCCTAGAAGGCTGTTATATGAATGATTTTCCCCTCTGGGTTGCTGTGAGTTTTCTGGGCTGTATGACCATGTTCCAGAAGCATTTTCCCCTTGCACTATATGCAAGGGGCCACTATATGACATGGCCACTATATGACTGTGGCCCTGCAGGAAAGCTTGGCAGTTCTATGCAGATAGAAAGACTGAAGGAAAATAAGGTCTCATCCAGATAACTCCATTGGAGCAACACCTACCTCTTTCATGGAACTTCTGGAACAGAAGGCATTAACCCATTGTTTTAGGCTTTAGTGCAATTTAAAATAACTAAATTTTATTCTGCAGTTAGGATCATGTGGGAAATTGAGGATACAATAGGTTGGTGGGTCAAGCAAGTGACTTTTTTTGGCATTGATTTCCAAAGGAATGAGATTCTGTGCTCACTCTAGGATGTCTTTTTTTTTGTGTGTGTGTGTATTAAATTGTATTATTGGGGTAGATGAGATGTAGGCAGATTATTATTTCAAAAGCATTGCATGAATAAACAAATATAAAACTGATAAAGTAGAGGGTACACAAGCGGCTAAATAATTTTAGACCAAAAATGGGCGACAGTGACTGCATTGTCTGTGGCTTGAAACAGTCCTTCCTCTTTGCATGAGGCAGGGCATGGTGGGCAAGCATACAGGTGTGAAGTTGATTGTTCTGCTCCACAGTCGCACAAGATGGAGGGTTCTTCTCTAGGCAGTGCCATTTAGCCGGGTTGTCTTTTGATCTGCTCACTCCACTCCTGAGTCTGTTCAGGGATTTCCAGGTTGCCCATTCTTGTTTTGCCCCTCAAGGCAGACCCTTGGGGAGGCATCCAGTTGGGATTTCCTGGTTTAGCTGCCCAGAGGAATGTTCTTACTGTTGCTGGGGGAACATTTAGAGGAGTGGTAATTCTCATAAAACTTTTCCTTGATTTGAATCTACTCGGAGGAGACTGATAGCCATGCAGTGGGTGGCTTTTGCAGTTTTCAACCCTTTTTCTCTCACAGTTGGCAGCAATTTCCCATTGCACATGGGGGTGGTCGGAGGGGGGGGGATGCCAATTAGCTTATCTAGTCTATCAAAAGGTGTAGGTTTCAGACATTCTGTGATTATTCTACATGTAAGTTCAATAGAGCAATTTAAAGCAACTGTAGATAGTGACATCCTGGCCATGGGTGGCGAAACCCAAAGTGCAGGTACCGTGTCTTGATACGCAGTTACTGGTACCAGCTACAGGCTTCCCTGTAGGCCCGTGCACCTAGCAAGAAGAAGAAGACGACGCTAAGTGTTCCCAAATAAATCTTACCAAGTTGTAGGAGAAGCCACCGAGGTATTTATTCAAGTCAGCTGAAGTGATGCCAGCTTGCAGTAATCTGCCAAAGGAAGCTGAGATGCCATAACAGTGAAAACAGACATTTTAATACACTGTAGAATGGATACAGTTTGACACCACTTCCATCGCTTAATGAAAACTGCAGTTTTGCAAAGTTTATCACCTTTGTAGTTGAATTTAGAGTAGGATCACAGATACAGAAGGTCTGTGCCCTGCGAGCATTTCTACTAAAACCTGAAGTTTCTGACTGAAGAACATACTCACCAAGTGAAAAGAGTCACAGAGGTTTATTAGCAATCTAGCCAGAAAGGATGCAAGTACAGCTGATGTCAAAAGTATGCAATCATAACCATGAATACAGAGACATAAGTTTTTATACATTTAACAGCTATCCTTCTTTAGAGGCTTTTAAACAGAGGCGGGATGGCCATCTGTCAGGGGTGCTTTGAATGCAATTTTCCTGCTTCTTGGCAGGGGGTTGGACTGGATGGCCTATGAGGTCTCTTCCAACTCTATGATTCTATCCAAACTTCCTGCTCCCTTCCCTGATTGGCCAAAAGAAAGGCTGGCTTGGATCTGCACCCCAATTGGCTGGCACTTCAGTGATGTTGCCACTTCCAGGTGGAATGCCTGGCAAAGAGGAAGAGATGGAGGGGGATTGGCGCAGGGCGGGACAATCTGCTGTTGAGGGGCAGCTCCCATGGGAGCAAGTGAGCCCTGGGAAGTTCATGTCCCTATTGGGAAATGTAAATGAATCCTTGTTTAGATTGTTTTAGTCTTGAGTGATGAGAAATTATCTTGGGAAAGACGAGAGTGAGAAGCCTTGGAACAAAAGGTGATGATCTTCTTCAATCGAGCCTTGGATGTTGAATAAAAGAATTTAATGAGTGTACTAACTCTGATTCTTGGTTTCCAAGGCTAGTCATCTCTCAGCCCAATGGAAACAATTGGCTAGGCAAGTATCATCTGATTGATGTCGAATCTGCCCGTGGCCCCTGCTTTCCAGCTGATCTGACCAGCTGCAGGGAGTTCCGCAGTTCCTGGATGCCCTGTTGGGCCAACTCTGATGAAATGTGCCCCAGCAGCAGCTTCAACCAAGGACTCCCTGCAACCTTGATCTCTCTGCTTTTGCTTTTCTCCCCAGCCCAAACATTGTAACAAAACCCCTAATAAAGACTAATTGAATTGTAACCTTCACCTCTCCATAGTGATACATTGTGTCTATTTCTTGACAAAAGTATCTAATGCATGAACTTATCCTTTTTCAGGCCGTGGGCAGCTGCCGGCTCGCCTGGGATGCCTTCCAGGCGTCCCAGGGAGGCTGAATCTGTGTTTCTTTAAACCACAGATATGGAAACCCCTGGGGCCCCCATATCCGCGAGTTAACCAAACAACTCCATTTTAGTGCCATATTTTTCTTAGCCTAATTCTAACACTAACTGCTATCTCACTTTTTGCATTTTGGAAATAACCTTTTTATTTTCAAGAATATATTTAAAGAGAAACAGCTGATTGTCAAACTGGGCTTCCTGCTGCCGCGCTGCTCCCGCCGTCGCTTCTTCGTCCTTTTGGAGCCCTAGGACCCGGGGGACTTGATGTGGTCACCCCATGAGACCTTCGGGAAGTGGATCTGCCACCCTCACTCCAGTCCTTGGAAGGGATTATAGTTCTCCAAGGACCAAAGGACAAGCTTCAGCCCCAGCGATGCAGAGCTCCATATCCTGGCTCAGTGGAATTGCCAGGCCACTTCTTATGATCTTTTGAACTCTGCAGGAATCTAACGGAAAAGGTAAAGGAAATTGTTTATTTCATTTGGTGTCCTTGGAGAACTATAAATCATCAGGGTAGGGGGTGCTGTGTTCGACAACACCTTCTCTGACAAAGAGCATTGTCACCTTGCCAAATAACTCCCAGGATTCTATCCACTCTTGAGTCTCATACAGTGGATGGGGTATAAATGGATCAGAGGCAGGGAAGAAAGAATCAGGAACCAAAAGAGGATCCATGGCAAACCCCAGAACATTACAAGGCCACAAGCAACAATAGAGCATTTGCTCCCTCTTTTAGCAATTTGTTACTAGATTGACTTTGGAAGAAGCAAACAACAACCTGTGCATTGGGCCTTCCCCCATTCTCAAAGTCAGCTAATGAAGCACTGTAATGCCATGAATGGAAGAGATGCATTGCAATTGCTGTGCAAGATGAACTCCTCTGGCCCCTTTCAATTACTGTGAAAGCAATTTTGCCCTGGCCGGAGATGAAGAATGGTTTTGCTTTGCATTTTATCTGGATTTGCTGGACTGATTTGGTAAGAGGATATCAGGCAGTCTCAAAGAGATGCTTCATGGCCTGCTGGAGTCACACCTTCCAAAATTTAACTGCTTTCTTCCAAAGCTAAGATCAAAAGGGCCCTGAGAAATCCCAGGGTGCATCTAGAATGAGTGCATTTTGACACAGTTCAGCCCCATCCACGCTGCAATATAATGCAGTTTCATAATACAGTTTATGATCTTCCCCCAGACTGTTAGGATTGACTCACTAGAAAAGATAATAATGCTTTGAAAGGTCAAAGGCAGAAGGAAAAGAGGAAGACTACATTCCCAATGGATGGACTTAACAATGGCCCCAAATTTGAGGCAAGGAGTTGAGGACGGGGAACTTGGCGGTCTCTCATTTATAGGGTCACCATAAGTAGAAACTGATCTGGCCACAGTTTAAAAAACAACACTTCTTGCATGTATTGCTATTTCAGCAGATAGTCTTAATCACTTCTCCAATTTTCCAAACTGGTCCCAGATACAGGATATTAATTATCCCAGAAAAGGGATGTTAAGGAGACCCTTTCCATCTCAGTGGCGCCATCAGGATCTTTAATTTCAGGACAACACTTCTCTTTCACTTCATGCAAGGAGTGTCAACCTCCTGCTAGTTGTTCATCCTGGGTGGATGGCACATTTCAGCCATAGATAGATGCGAAAATTGTTTATTCGTCAGATCAGCTGGAAGTAGAAAGAGGTCTCTGTGGGGAACCTCCTTCCATAATGATTGCAGGAATCGGATGGACTAAAGCAGTGCTGCATGAATCACATCCATAGCCTACCCAGCCCCAAGGAATTTTGCTGCCTGAGAAGGAACAACTATATCTGGCAGGGTTTCGCCACATCCATCTCTAGCCAGAGCACATCTTTTAGATGTGGCCAAACCTGGCCAGATCTATTTGGCAAATAAGTATCTGAACACTCCTTGCAGAGTTCTACAGCTATGGCGATGGTCACAGAATGAGCCACAGCTCCAAAATGTATCATTCTCCCACTGATGTGGAACAAAGGCTTGTGTGAACAGCACCGGTTTCATGACCAGTGCTGAAAAGGAGGGCGGGAACTGGGTGCCTGGATAGAATGAGAGAGGCAGAAAGAAGAGGAGGAGCCGGCTGGACTAGGAACCTGTGGCAAAGAGAAACATAGCGACAAAGAAGAGAGAGTGAGAGACGGGAAAAGGTCTGGCATCACCCAGGAAGAGCCCAGTTCACTATGTGCCAGTTGAGGTCCACAGAAAGGGGGCAGCAGGTGCCTCTTGCCTGCCTTCCTGCAGCCGAGGCATTGGGCAAAAGAGAGCCGTGAGAGAAACAGACCTCAGAGCCCCAAAAAGAGGTAGGTGACTGCAGCACAGCATCTTCTTCCTGAGATGCAGGATTAAAAGGAGGCTTTTCCCACTGGTTTTGTAAATATATAGTAGTAATGGGGAGGTGTTAGGAGCGGGTTGCTACTTATTTCCTGCAGTAATTCTCTCATCACTCAGAGGAAATGAATTTGGGGATGTATGTGTTTGAGCGTGGCAAAGAGACTAGGAGAAGCACAGGAGCCGGTTGCATTTCGAAAGTGGCAAGTCTAGAGGAGAGCAGGGATGCCTGGGGATCAAATAACCTCCAGGGCTCAGCTCTGAAAAGTGTTGGTTTCCGATACTGAAAAGCAAAAGAGGTGCTTCTTTTCCTAAAAGTTGTTTCACCTTGCTCATCAGAAAACTCTGCACTTTGCACAAAAGTGTCAGACGTCTTTGGAAGGTATTATTTGCAGCTGCGTGGTGGAGTTCAGGAATGGGAATGAAACTCTAGAGCTCCGCACTGGAGAATTCTGGCTCTAGATCATGCCCCAATGTGTTGTTTTTATTGTTGGATGTCTTGCAGTTATTTCTAGCTTATGGTGACTCTATCATGGGGGTTTCTGGGGCTGAGACTGTGTGACTCGCCCCAAGGTTACCCAGTAGGTTACCATGGCCAAGGAGGGATTTCAGCCCTGATCTCCAGTAGTTTGATGCTCAAACCAGGACAGTTAAATGACTCCTTGTTTCCCGACATCACTGATCAGTGTATGTTCATGGAGGAAGTTAGCCTTGTGATTTCTCTAGAGTTGGTCTTAATTATTTTTGAAAACATGGGGAGTGTCAAAAAGACCACAACAATGATGACTATCACTGTATCAGATATTTTGTCCTAAAATGAGAGATGAAGGGCACAAGGTTTCTTCTCTCATTTGAAGCTGGAAAATAGCTCTCCTAATAAGTGTGTTTTTTTCCCCACCTCTTGGAAATGTATATCCATTTGGGATACACAAATTATAAATCCGGAAACAATCATGAATGCAATTGAGAAGTGTATTTCATCCTTGTTTTTCTCACTTGCTGCTAGGACAATGTACACTACTCATCTTCAAAATAAAATAAAAGTATCCATGTTGATAGAATGGGGATGTTCAATGAATGTAAAATAGTTGTTTGTTTGTTTTTTTTGTCGTGTCTGTAAAATAGTGTTTCCAAGTAACATTTAGACTTTAATTTAAAGTGAACAGTTGGGGACGTGCTTTGCCATCAGGATTGGTCTACTGCAGTATACTAAATGTGGGGCTGCCCTTGAACACATCTGGATGTTTGAACTGGTAGAAATCATGACAGTCCACCTCTAAAGGATGCACTAAAATCTCCCCTGGTTCCTCATCCAGTGGGGATAAGATGTGCAAGCTGCCAGAATAAAGACTGCAACACTGTATTAACCATGAGGTTCAATTATCAGTTTATGTTCTTGGTGCTAAAGTTCTCGTTTTACACATCTATTCACTTGCAATATCTGCATACAAATAGGAGAGAAGTTGCGCTGACCAGATAATACACCCCATACTTGTAACCCATAAAGGAGAATAAGAAATTTTAGGATGACAGTAGAGATACATTTTTAGTGATACATTTTAAAGTGAATGATCCATCTGGTAAGTATGTTTCATGTTTTTTCTTGCTTTGGTAGAAAAACTATTTTTTTCTCTAAAGCATTTGATAGAATCCTATAGTGGAAAGAGACCCCAAGGGACATCTAGTCCAACCTCGTTCCGCAAGACAAGAAAAGCACAATCAAAGCTCTCCCAACAGATGGCCATCCAGCCCCTGCTTAATAATAATAATAATAATAATAATAATAATAATAATAATTTATTTATTTATTTACAGTATTTATATACCGCTTTTCTCACCCCTAGGGGGACTCAAAGTGGTAATAATAATAATAATAATAATAATAATAATAATAATAATAATAGAATCATAAAGTTGGGAAAGACTCCAAGGACCATCGAGTCCAACCCTTTTTTTCTTGCCAGGCTGGAAAAGCACAATCAAAGCACCCCCAGCAGATGGCAACCTAGCCCCTGCTTAATAATACAAATAATAACCTCAATAATAATAATAATAATAATAATAATAATAATAGAATCCTATAGTTGGAAGAGACCCCAGGGACCATCCAGTCCAACCCCCTCTGCCAGGCATGAAAAAACAATCAAAGCTCTCCCAACAGATGTCCATCCAGCCCCTCCTTAATAATAATAATAATAATAATAATAATAATAATAATAATAATAATAATAATAGAATCATAAAATTGGGAAGGAGTCCCAGGTGGCGCAGTGGGTTAAATGGCTGAGCTGCTGAACTTGCTGACCGAAAGATCACCAGTTCAAATCCGGTGAGCGGGGTGTGCTCCCGCTATTGTTAGCCCCAGCTTCTGCCAACCAAGAAATTCAAAAACATGCAAATATGAGTAGATCAATAGGTACCACTCCGGCTGGAAGGTAACGGCACTCCATACTGTCATGCCAGCCACATGACCTTGGAGGTGTCTACAGACAACGCCAGCTCTTCGGCTTACAAATGGAGATGAGCACCAACCCCCAGAGTCAGACACTACTAGACTATGTCAGAGGAAAACCTTTACCTTAAAGTTGGGAGAGACCCCAAGGGCCAGCCAATCTAAACTCCTTCTGCCAGGTGGGAAAAGCACTCCCAATCAGAGCACACCCAAAAGATGGCCACCTAGTCCCTACTTTAGAATAATAATAATCTATATAAATAAAAATATAATGTTCGTTTGTGGGATTAACAGAACTCAAAAACCACTGTGGGAATTGACACCAAATTTGGACACAAGACATCTAATAACCCAATGTATGTCCTTCACTCACAAAAACACTGAAAAACACAGCAGAAGGGACTTAAAAAGCTCCCAAAAGCTAAATGACGAAAAGCTACATGACAATACAGAAAAAGGAAGAAAGAGGGAGGGAAGGGGAGGGGAAAAAAGAAAGAAAGAAAAGAAGGAGGGAAAGAAAGAAGGAAAGGGAGAAGGAAGCATGGAAGCAAAGAGAGAAGGAAGGAAAGAGGTAGAGAAGGAAGAAAGGAGAGAAAGAGGGAGGGAAAGAAAAAGGGGGAAGGAAGGAAAGTTAGAGAAGGAAGGAAGGAGAGAGAGCAAAGGAAGGGGGGAAGATGTAGAGAAAGAGGGAGGGAAGGAAAGAAAGAAGGAAAGAGAGAAGGTAGAAAAGAGAGACAGCAGAAGAAAAAAAAGGGAAGGAAGGAAAGAGACAGAAGAAAGGAAGAAAAGAAGGAAAGACGGGAAGGAAAGTGGGAGTGAAGGAAGGAGGGAAAGAAGAAGAGGGAAGGTTGGCCACAGCAATGTGTGGCGGGTACACTAATAATAATAATAATAGTAATAATAATAACCACAACAATATTATTTTTTAACAATAATAATCATCATCATCATCGAATCCTATAGTTGGTAGGATTCTATTATTATTATTATTGTTATTATTATTATTGTTATTATTATTATTATTATTATTATTATTATTATTAGAGTCTGACACGACTGGACTTCATGTCAGGGGAAAACCTTTACCTCTACCTTATAGTTGGAAGAGACCCCAAGGGCCATCCAGTCCAACCCTCTTCTGCCGGGCATGAAAGCACAATCAAAGCCCTCCCGACAGATGGTCATCCAGGTCCTGCTTAAAAGCAGGAGAAGGAAACTCCAACACACTTTGAGGCAGCAACATATTCCAGTGCCAAACAGCTCTTAGAACAATTAAGTATTTCCAAATACTCAGGTGGAATATCCTCTCTATTTATCCAGAAGTGTTTCTCTGCAGAAATATATTTGGGTTTCCTTTGTGAAAGACACAGTTTCCTATATAGAAAAATAGCATGTATTTTGGTTATTGATACCAAACTTGCAAATAACTGAATCTGAAAAAGTTAAGCTCATGAAAGTCTGGATTCGACTACGCAAGAGCTTCAGTTCAATGCTTCTGGCATCTAGGGAGAATTCAGGCTTGATTTGCTCTTTAGACCCATTAATTTTTCTTCTTAGCTGTCTATTGTATTCGCAGAACTCTCCTCCCGCATGACATTTTAAAAGAGTTGATTTTCTTCTTGCCAGGTCTTTTTAACCAGCTCTGAAAACCACTCAGAGAAATAAGAAATGCTCTGGTTCAGATGAGTCTGACTTTGATAGCTAATCAGACGGCTTGACACTTGAAAGACTATTATCTAGCTATTTCATTGCTGCCCTTTTAGAGTTTCTGTCTGATTTCTTGACTGCAATCTCCAGTTTGATTAATGACTGAGTCAAAATGTATTACGATATGAATGCCTTCCTTTAAAATTATTTGTGGTTTACACGACATATTTATTGCCATCTAATATCACTTGAAGGATGAATCTACATTGTATAATTAATGCAGTTTGACACGATTTTAACTGCCATGGCTGGTGATAGAATCCTGGGAGTCATAGTTTGGTGAGGCATCAGCACTCTTTGAAAGTGTAAAACTACAACTCCCAGGATTCCATACCATTGAGCAATTGTATGACAGTGTAATAAGGAAATTGTAATATGTTTGACAAGATTTTAATTGCAATGGCTTGTGATAGAATCCTGGGATTTGTAGTTTGGTGAGGCATCAGCACACTTTGAAAGAGAAAAACTACAACTCAGGATTCCATACCATTGAGCTATTGCATGACAGTGTAATAAGGTAATTGTAATATGTTTGATTTGATTTTAATTGCCATGGCTGGTGATAGAATCCTGGGATTTGTAGTTTGATGATGCATCAGCCACTCTTCGAAAGAGTAAAACTACAACCCTCAGGATTCTATACCATTGAGCAATTGCATGACAATGTAATAAGGAAATTGTAATATGTTAAATGTTTTGGAAAGAGGAGAAAAAAGAAGACCTAGAGATTGGTTCAAGTTGAAACGATGAATTTCATGGCAACTTGGAGACTTGAACCCAAACTGGGAATGGCTCTTCTCTAAAACCAGTATT